TTATAAAGTTATTCAATTGAAAAGTTTCTCCTTTCTCGCGAGTAATTCATTTCATTCTTTTGCAAGAATGAAAAATGAGACAAGAGGACGTGGGTCACTCTTAATTTAACTTTATCGGAGATAATTTTTGTATTTTTTTCTACTCGATTCTTTTTTTTGGTCTCTTACTTTTTAATTGAATGAATTTTACTTTATAAAAATTTTATGAAATAAAAAATATATATATACATTATTAGGGTTATTTCACATTAGGGTAAAAATATTCGAAAACTGCAAATATAGAAAATTACCGACATGAAAATCTACCATACCGACTGATAGTAAAGAAATTTTTTTGAAAAATGAAAATATAAAAAAATTACCGACACAGAAATCTACCTTACCGACTGATGGTATAATTATAACTTTTCCAAAAAAATAATTTTCGGATTTTAACTTCCTTTGTTTTGCAAAATCGACTAAATTTTTATGTATTAAATGTCTATTTTTAAAAAATCGCTTCAGGAGTGTTTTAATAATGATAGATAATTATTTTTGTTCGTCTTGAATCATACTGTATTAGTAGGGTATGTTAATAGGAAAAACCCAATAATAAATATTTGACACATTTGTCAGTTTCTACAAGTTCGGTTCGCTTTATTTAGCTCACCGCATGTAGGTCCTTATGTAGGACAAGTAAACACCTGCAAAAAAATCACATGAAATAGATTATCTTATTATAAAAAGAAAAAAATAAAAACGATTTTACAACAAATTTTTCTAAATTCTCTAAAGGGAGATAATTTTTCTTCTCTGTATATAGAATGTAAATTTATAATTCTCATACATGAAGAAAAATTTAAATTTCGTTGAGATGAGCAATTAAGCATTAATGGATTTATAATCTAATGAATTTTTAGGTTTCTTCTCATGAGAAGAGATAGCACGAGTTTGAACACACCAGTAGATATTCTTCTAGATTTATAGATGCAAAAGAGAGAAAATTGGACAAAAAGTTTTAAAGCAAAAGAGAAGGGAAAATCAGTCGTTAATCTCGAGAGTCGCTCTGTAACATCCGTGAAATCGAGCCATCGCTGGTTTTCTACACTAGACTGACCACGAGTCTCAAAAATTAATCTGAATATCGAATAAATTATGAATTTTATAACTTTCGCCTCACACCTATCAAGTAAAATTATTACTCACGTTATATTTATATAGTTGAAATTAAAAATTTACCTAAATTATTAAATGTGAAAAACAAAATTTTTTTTCTTAAACTTTAAATTTTTTTTTTAGTAAAAAAAAAAATTCTGTAACTCTTTTGCAAAGTGAAATTTAACATTTTTTTCTCATATGTAAAATTTATTCCGGAAAACTAATTATCCTTGTATATTCTGAGGCTTTTACCATCGTCTGATATCATTCAGATGAAGTAGAAGAGATGAAAAAATTACAAAGCCCCGTCTCTCTGTACACTCGCTTTTCCTACAAATTGCAAGTCGAAAGAAAGAAAAAGAGAGACCAAAAAAAAACACACACACACACACAGAAAAATTTTTCCTCTACCCCTTTTTTTTCTGTCCAGAGTTAATATATTTGTGGAGGAAAATTATTTTTAATTTCTACGCGAATCAAGGACACGAATTGTTTGAAGCAGTGTGCGACACAGTCGTGTAAGAATTTCTTAATTAGATTTGAGCCCCTGCAGGTAACTTTCTTTTGTTTCACTCCACGATATTCTCTAAGTCCTGATTGTTCATGAACTACCTTTTTTTGTTCCTAACCCCTTCACCCTCCTCAAAAGAATTTATTCTCACTATTATTATTTTTATCCCTCTTATATTTATAAGATACACAAAAAAGAAGTCTAATTTTTCTTTTTAATTCAATTTAAAGTTTTAATTTAATATAAAAAAAAAAAAAAATAAATAAAATTTATTTTTTAAAATACTATAAAATTGGTTTTAATTTGAAGAGATAATTTTTGTAAATTGTATCAGCGAGTCTTTTTAAGTGACTTTAGCAAAAGAATATATACATATATGCAATAGAATATACATAAAATTAATGTGATTTTCCCACATGTAGAAAAAGCAGGCAGAGCCCTGGCTAATGAAAAGCTTCTACCATCGAAACGTAAGGCACGCTTTATGTCAGTATCTCCTTTCCCTTTGTCCAATTTATTATTCTCCTGAAAATTACGTCCGAGTTTCCTACATCGTCAGAGAGAGCGAGAGAGACAGAGAGAGAGAGAGAGAGAGAGAGAGAGAAAAGGATGTTAATTTTACCAAGCCAAGGACAACCCCCCTTTTCAAATACAATTTTAAAGTAGAGGAAAATTTCTAGACTACAAATTAGAGTCAATATATCTGAATAATAAAATTTATTAAAACTTTTGTAATTTTTCGTATTTAACAATTTTTTTTCAAAAATTGTTTTAAAAAAAAATTATTTGATTCAAATAAATGTTGAAGCAAATAATTTTCATTTAAATTAAATAAATTTTTTTTGGATCAATGGACCTATATGGAAACAGTTGCTATGGTAACGGTTGTTATGGAAACAGTTGCTATGGTAACGGTTGTTATGGAAACAGTTACCCCAGGTGGAAAAGTTCCCGGTAGTCACTACCGGTAGTCATTACCGCTCCCGCTACCGGAATATTCACTACCGGTAGTCACTATCGATAATTTTTCCTAGACTACCGGTAGTCACTACCGGTAATTTTTCCGGGACTACCGGTAGCCACTAGCGGTAATTTTTCCGGGACTACCGGTAATTCTTCCGATACTACCGGTAGTTACTACCGGTAATTTTTCCGGTACTACCGGTAGTCACTACCGGTAATTTTTTTTTTACTACCGGTAGTCACTATCGGTAATTTTTTCCGGGACTACCGGTAGTCACTACCGGTAGTCACTACCGGTAGTCATTACCGGTAATTTTTCCGGGAATTACAATCAAAATTTGTTTTAAAAAAATTTAGAATTTTTTTAAAACAAATTTTACGGTAGTAAAAAAAATTACCGGTAGTGACTACCGGTAGTACCGGAAAAATTACCGGTAGTAACTACCGGCAGTACCGGAAGAATTACCGGTAGTGACTACCGGTAGTCCCGGAAAAATTACCGGTAGTGGCTACCGGTAGTCCCAGAAAAATTACCGGTAGTGGCTACCGGTAGTCCTGGAAAAATTACCGGTAGTGACTACCGATAGTCTAGGAAAAATTACCCGTAGTGACTACCGGTAGTGAATATTCAGGTAGCGGGTGCGGTAATGACTACCGGTAGTCACTACCGGGAACTTTTCCACCTGGGTACTATGAAAACAACTATACTATGGTAACGGTTGTTATGGTAACTTTTACCATGACAACTGTATACGAGTATACGACGGACAGACGGACGCCAAAGCGAAACTAAGGGTTTTGGCTCTGAACCACACGAAACCCTAAAAAAAAAAGAAAATTTACTTGTCAATGTTAAAAAGGGAAAATTTTAGAAAAAAAAAAAATTAACCATATAAAATATATGAGTAATAAAACTCTTTCAGACAGTTCCCGCGCTATTATGCTCATAGATCTTAAAACAATGGCTAAATAACGCATTTGAGAAGTGTGACAATGTCACATACAGCTAGTAGAGGACCAAAACCACCTTTTGAAAGTGGATTCGTAGGGGTCACACATCTACACCGCACATTTCGTATATTTTATTATTACTCGTACTTTCGCGGTGTCCGGAGAGATTCCCTAGCTTTTGCCATTGGTATATATGTGTTGTGCATGGGTTGAAAAAGAGAAGTGAGAGACTCATGTTATTGTGAGTGAAAGAGAGTAAAGTATATATAATACAAGGGTTGATGTTAACCAGGGGGGGGGAGCAAGAGGGGGTTCGCGGTAGTCCGAAGAGAGAGGATGCGGAGTATATAGGGAGGAGTGGTTAGCTCGACCGTTATTAATGTCTCTGGCATATAGCAGAATTATATACATATATATATATATAAAACCATGCGGAGACGGAGCAAGAAGAATGAAACGATGTGTAGAAAAAGGAGAACCGAGTTCTTAATAATTGATAAAAATGTATGCATACGCCCAGCTAGTCAAAAGCGCGAGCGGTAACGCTATATATGGTTTTTACCAGAATGACACAAGGGGAAGGTTGGGTTGACTGGTCCGTTGACAAAGGCAACACGATTTATTCCCACTTTTCAAGCGCGGACGTCGCCGTGGCGCCCGAGAATTTTTCTTCGTTCCGTCACAAATTCGGAATTATCAAAATTTATGCCTCTCGTATACGTCCATCAGAGCGTGTAATGGATCACTTTTTTTTCCTTTTTTTCAATAAAGATTTCGTCTCGTAAAGTTAACCCTACTAATTAGTTTCAACATATATATTTTTTTTAACTGAAAATTATTGGAGGGGAGGGGGGAGTTTAACATTTAGCTACCATAAGCACATTTTTTGCCATCTGGTGTTCAAAATCACTATTATTATTATTATTATTAAAATGACTGAAAATTAGTAACTATTTACTAGTAATTAGTCTTTTTTTGACTAATTTCGGAAAAATTATCCGAAAACAATACTAAATGTAGGTACTTACAAAAAAACGAAAGTCATTTGAAATCGTTACTATATATAAATAAGTCCTCTTTCACTTACTTTTATTCTGTAACAGAAAAATAAAAAATAATGTTAGTTCAAAATTTATTACCATTTATAAATTTATTAAAATTTTATTTCAATAATGTTAATATAATTAAAATACACTGAAACATTTTTGATTGTAAAAGAATTTCTTCTTTATAACAAAAATTATAAGAATTGGAAATGTCTGACCGAAAATTGACCTTTACTACTGTTGCCTTTACATATATATTATGACTGCTTTAATTTCGTTTCCAATGAAATTATTTTATATTTTTATATTTTAAAAATTTTTAATTATTTTCTTTAAATTTTTATTCTTTTTATTATTAATTTTAAATTATATTTTTAAATTTTTTATTATAGAAGTCATCATTTAGATGGATTTGGTTTTCATCTTGCAACCAATGAAATTAGAAAAGCGAAATGGCATCCAGGTTCAATAAATCATTCTCATCTTGTTGTATTAACATCGCAAAATACATTTCAGTAAGTGAATTTATTAATTATAATTATATATTAATTATATATTTATTCGTGTACTTTTTTTTTACAGTTTATACGAGTGTCTAATTGGTGAAACTCCTACATTATTAAAAACATGGAAAGTGGGACCAACACCTTCCACTTCACCCTCGAAAATACCGAGTTTCGCATCACTTGGAGAAATAGCGGTTGATTTTGATTTTTCCTCACCTTGTGTTCAAACCGAATCTGATAAAGATATTGAGGTATATTAAATAAAATAAATCTAAGAAACAATTTCCGGGACAATAATTTAATAATTATTATTGAATTATTATTTTTCAGATTGATAAAATGAAATGGAATCAAATAGAATGGCCTATTCTCGTTCTCCGAGGAAATGGCGATGTTTTCATTTTAAAAGGCGATATTTTAACGCCAAGGTATTTAAATATTTAAAATAATAACAATTTAAAATTACTTAAACATTGTGGCAATAATTAAAAAATTTAAATTATTAAATATATATTAATAAAATACATAAAAAAATGATTTTATTTATATTTTATTATTTTTATTTATTTATTACTAAAGATATTATTTCACAGATCATCAGCGCCAATTGTTCTCGGATCACTTAGTATGTATCCACCCGCTGTTGATAATTATGGAATTGATTGTTGTTCGATTATGTGTATACAAACAACTCCGCCAATTGTTGTGATAGCTGATTGTTCGGGAAAAATATATCACGCAATTTTATTGCCCGATGACTTTGAAGATGAGGAAAAGAAAGTTCGTTTTGATTTTATTTAAAAACAAAAAAATCATTATTATTATTATTATTTTAACATTTTTAATTTTTTTTTTTTTTTCAAGACATGGTCTCAATATGGTTCGACTTATAGTCTTCATACCCCAGATGTTGCTCTTTATGTTTATGAATGCGTAGAAATGGAATTGGGTCTTTTTTATAATGACGACGATAAAAAATATACTTGTCCAGTTTATCTTCACAAAGACAAAGATAATAGTTCAAGGTATATTTATATTATAAACAATAATTTTAATTGTAAATAAGTTTTTTGTTAATAGAAAAATTTATTATTAATCTTATTTAATAAATTAATTAATAATTCATTCAATTTATTAAAAGATAATTAATTATTAATTTAAAAATTCATAAACTCAATGTTTCTAGGTATTTTTGTTCACATAATGCAGGAATTCATGTTGTAAATTTGCCAATGGTTTCTCAATTAGAAGAATATCGAGACGCAGGTGAAGGTAGAATAGTTTTTTCAAACTTTTATTTATCTATTTATGAAAATAATGAACTGAAATGAAATTTTCTTTTTTTTTTTTTTACAGAAAATCTCGATTTGTTTCTTCCCTCATTGAAAAATCAATCAAATTCTCAATATTTGGTTTGCACTCGTACAAAACATACTGTTTTCGATGATGCAACACCAATTTTGGGTCTTGGTTTATTAAGAGAACCTTGTGTTCTTATTTCCCTTTTATATACTGGATTTGTTGTTAATTTATCTATTGCTGACTTTAATTATTTGCCAAAATTTGAATATAATCGACCAATTAACAGTTCCAGTAAAAAGGTATAATTTATAAAAGAAAAATATATAAATTTTATTTTTGTTTAAGATTAATTTTTTTTTTTACACCAAACTATTATTCACAGGTAACTAAAGAACCATTTGACGCATACATTAAACAATTTTTAAGACACGAATCATCACAACCAATCACAATGCTTGGACTTCGACAAAATTTGACAGCACGTGATTCTCTTGAGGTAAAAAAAAATTCCATAAATTAAAAAAAAAATAATTCAAATAATTAAAAAATACTATATTTCAATTCAGTTACTTTACCGAGCAACGACAATTTTTCGATCGCAACATTTTTTGCGCCACGATAAAGTACGAGAAGAAATTTTAAAGAAAGTACGAACATTAAAAGCCTTAAAAAATCATCAACTAAAGGAACTTGAATATTTGATTCATGTGAAAAAAGAATTACAAGAGACTGCGGAAAAATTAGCAGAACGCTACGAGGATATAAAAGATAATCAAGAGGATCTTGCTCGAAGGTATTTCTTTTTTTTCTAATTGAAAAATCAAGAAAAAATTCATTTTTCCTTTTTTTTTTTGACAGAGCACAAGAGGTACTTCGATTAGTTAATTTAAAAGAGCCTTCATTATCGCCTATTGAGAGAGCAGAAGCTGAAGAAATGAAATTAATCGAGAATAAAGTGAAAGAATTTTCCGTACGATTGGAACAATTAAAAAAGAAAGCAAATAAACAAACTATAAATATTGTTGAAAGTCCAAATACAAATGGAAAGAAAAAGGAAATTGTTTTCAAAGAAAAACAAGTGGAAACAATAAAATCGAATCTACTTCAAATGTTCGTATATAATAATTATATTAATTATTTAATTCAATTATTATTATTATTATTAAAAATAATTTTTTTTATTTTAGGGGCAAAGATATTGCTGACCTTGTGTCGCGAACAAAAACCCTAGAAGAAGAAGTTTTATAAAATCAATATACGAATTTTATAATCGAAATTTTTTACGGGCTAATTTTTTTGTTCAGTTTAATAATATATCATTATTTTGACTATTTTTCTATTTTTTTTCTACTTTTATTTAAAAAAAAAAAAAATCAAAAAATGTAGAATATTTCAACATCTACAGCTGGTAACCATGATATTTTGTTTTGTTAAAATTGAAGATAAAGTAGAAATTTTATGATAAGTTTATCAACGGATGAGAAGAAGATAATACCCATTGTCGATAACTTTTTTTTTAGTTTTATGTAAAATTAAAAGATTACCAGAAATTGTTTCATTAGAGTATTAAAATATTTTTGTTTGTAGTCCATGAACCAGTCATTGTATTACACAAAATTTAAATAAATAAATAACATTTTTTTAATTTTTCAAAAAAAAGGTGTATTTTGAGAATTTTTCCCATTCCTTGAAAATTTATTTTTTCAACTTTATTATTTTATTATTATTACTTAAGAAAGCAGGTATTTTATTTTTTATTAATTTTTCTTTCATTTCTCAGCAGTCGATAAAGAAAATTTTTAAATCATTCCTTCTTTATCTACAACCGTTTAAACAAAAATCAATAATGTATCAACTGATAATTTACGTTTTTCTTGATAAAAGTAATTTAATAAATTTCTACTTTTTCCTTACTAGATAAAACGATTTCTACCTTATCTTTCATAAGCAAATGTCGCGTAAAACATGTCGAATAATTTAAAATATTTTACAATATACCATTCAATGTTATGTCAATTTTTAATAAAAAAAAAAAAAAAAAATACAATTTCTAATACATAAAAAAACTAATGAAAAAATATTTCTTTTTTAATTGCTCTATACTAACTCCTATGTGGCTAAATTGTAGAAATTAAATTTACATAACAAATTTTATAACACAAGTTATACAAATTTATAGGAGACATAATTAAATTACTATATTAAATAAAATGAATACGAAGAGAATTATATAATCTTGTTAATTTTCAATTTCAACTTGTATAATATATATTGAAGAACCAGTGAATCGTTAATTTTAATTTTCCATAGCTTAAACATTAAATAGGGGTAATCAATACACATGTAATCAGATTAAATTTCCCTTTTTTTTTTGCAAAAAACAAATATTTTATTCATTTATACGAGACGATCACCAAAAAAAAAACCTTGCATTTGATGAAAAATTTCAATTTTTCTTCTCAGATATTTTTTTTTTTTGTATTTTTTCCTATAGCGCATACACATTAGTTTTTTTACTTTTCATCTTTTTCTCTCTGATTAGGCAATTTTCAAACTTTATCAATAATGAAATTTCTCTTAAAAATTTTTACGACTATTGAATAAAATATATTTTACTTTCAACAAAATTTAATGGTTTTCTTTCGACAAAAAAAAAAGAAAAGAAAAATAAAATCAATATACATAGAAAAATATAAACTTTGAACAAGATTTTTTTTTTCTCTCTTCTTAATCTAATTCTTGTATTGAATTTAGAAACACATGTAATTAATTTTAACACCCACAACTCATAGAAAATAATTAATTGCATCTAAACTACTTTTGCCCAAGTTCGACCCAACGACTTCTAAACAGAGAACATATACGTGAGCGAATCAACTCCTTTGTTAATTATTCAACAAGTTTGGTCCACAAATGCAACTATGCCACACCATACAATTGTTGGTCTACAATTTATATGTTCTCTATATATCACTTTTCTGTACCATTAAAACATTATCTTAATTTCAATTGTTTTATTTTGAAGAAAATTTAAATCGGTAATCTTGAATAAATTATAAAAATTTAATTTATCCCTAAAATTGTGAAAAATATATAATTTTTTTTTAATAATATGCAAAAAATAATGTGTAAAACAATTTATTTTCCGTTATACATGCGAACCTGTTAACTCTGTAGGAACTTTAATTAGCGTATAAGCCACAAAACCAATGTTCTTAACAGTCGCGATTGCACACAGTGCTTTTTAATAAAAAATCCTTCTCATTTATTTTATTTTCATAAACTTTATCATAAAAATTGAATTTTGAAAAATAATCTTTTAAAACAAGAAAAATTTTCTATTTATAAAATCAAGTTTATGAATTTTTAGTATGTGAAAACAAATATTTCACAATTGATGAGAAAGCATTTTTATTAGTTACAAGTAAAAATATAAAATTATTTTATTTTGTAAGTTTATTAAAAAATATATATATATATTTTTTTTGTGAAATAATAAAATAGAATTTTATGTACACGAACATAAAAATAGGGTACATTTATTTTGAATATCCTCTATAGCCAGATGGTGTATAATATCCTGCTTGATTTCCATATGTTCCATATCCACCGTAATTACTACCATAACCACCATAATTCCCATATCCATATGCATTACTTCCATAATTTCCATAGTCCCCAATTCCATATCCTGAACCATAGCCTCCATAATTTCCATATCCACCGTAACCCGTACCATAGCCACCGTAATTGGTACCATAACCACCGTAATTTGTACCATAACCACCATAATTTGTACCATATCCACCATAACCTGTACCATACCCACTATAACCCGTACCATATCCACCATATTTTCCTGGATAACTCGTCCCATAGTAACCACTCCCGTAACCATTTCCATAATATCCATAACTATAATAAAACAAAATCCTCCAATTAGATAATATATTTCATTCAATTGAATTTTAGATTTAAAAATTATACTATATAAAACCAAAAAAAAAATTGCAATTGAAATGATTTTTATTCTTGAATATAAAAAAGAAAAAATATGAAGCAAATTTGCTCAGCACTTATGCAACAAAATTCTCTGAATATGTGAAGACCCACATTTTTATTGAAGAAAATGTGAATTAGCAAAAATGGATAGAATACAAAAAAATCTGATAAGATTTAATAATAATAAATAAATTTTTGCAATAAAAATAAAACTTTCTAAATTATTGAAAAGAAATTCTTTTTATGAAATTATTATTTGAAAAGTATTAATTTAGTAAAAATTTTGTATTTATTGAAAGATTACGTTAGATGTGTTTTATAATCATTTATATTTGAAATAATTTCTATGGGTTTTGTGATATGAGAGAGTATTATACTTTTATTGTATATTGTTATACATTTGATTGCAACACGATCGTTAAGTAAGTTAATATTTACCCGAGGTTACCACCCCCAATTATTCCAGGATAGTTGCCTCGATATCCACCTCTATATGTTGTACTATAACCATAAGGTGTTCCACTTGCATAACCTCCATATCCCCCATAATCCCTACTGATGAGGAATGCTGGAATCAGAGGATCTTTCAGAAAAAACTATTATTATTCTGTAATTTCATTTTTAGATTAACCTATTTCAAAAAACTACTTTAGCTTTTTCATTTTTTTTTTTTTCTATAAATATTTACAAAAATATATATTTCCCACCTAGATAAATATTTCTTTTAACCTATCTAAAAAAAAATTCTATTTAATTTTAATATATTTAATCTCTTCCCAAGGAATAAAGAATTAAAAAAAAAAAAAAAGAACAACCTTCTTTCCAGTATTCAATTTCAATGAAAAACGTAACCCCCTTTAAGATGTGCAAACATAAGTTATGAGTATTTAAAAAAAAAAAACACTTTACAAGTCTCATAAGCAATCTCATCATTCATTTTGTTTTGAAAATCTTTTTCTTTTCAACAGTATAACAACTATTATTGATTACGCAATGGACACGCGACTTGAATATGAATATACATTTTACACGGGTGACTGACTCTTCGTTGTGTTTTCTTCTCGACATTTATTAACGACAATTTAGAAAAAAAAAATAAATAAATAAAAAAAAAAGGGGAAAAAAATAAACTTTACTTTTACACGAATATCATAAAAATATCGTAAAATATAAGATAATGAAAATTATGTGAAAGAAATGAATCACCATTTATAATGTATAAATGTTACATGACTTTCTGCAATATAAATAGTTAAAAAAAAGTATATACCCGTGTGGAAAAGTGATGTGGGCCCCCAGCGGGGGCCCTTATGGATCGCCCTCATGCCATGAGGGCCGCATATGGATGATCCATAGGGGCCCCTCATGGAAACGACATGCTCATCGATGAGGGCGCCCGCATGGGCGATCCATGAGGGTGCCCCTACGGGCGCCCTTATGGGCCCTCACGTTTGCCCTCATCTTGCCCTCAAGTTTGCCATAATGTTTTTTAATCAATAATATTAATAATAAAAGTTAATTAATAATAAATAAGCTTAAGTTATGAATAAATAACATATTTATTTAATAATTATTCAATTTTAAATTAAATTCTTACTCAAATTGAATTTATTAATTAACGTTCTAATTAATTAACTGTCGGATATAATTAAAAGTAATAATAAATTAATTAATTAAAAAATTAAAAAATATGTAATTTATGCATACTATTAACCGATATTTTCATTTTTCAATTAATTCATACATAGAATTAATGATTAAACGCAAACCTGAGAAATAAATAAATCTAACGCATGGGGGGAATCGAACCTACGACCTACGGACTATGAGTCTAACGCTTTACCAACTACGCTACGCACGCTACTTCAAAACGAATGCTAACTTCTTGATGCTATTTAAACTTGAAAAATACCTAACAAAGAAAAGTGCTTAACATCATTTAGTTAAAGTTAAGATATTAAATTATATTTTCCAATCAAATGCAATTTATAAAATATAATTAATTATATGCTTTATGATTATTATCATGAATCATCTCAGGCGAATTTTCAAAAAAGTGTAAATATATTTTTATTAAAAACGCGTTTTTCGTTGTTTTGAATCATTGGAAACATTCATTTTTTGTTGATAAAAAAATATTTGATTTTTGGACTTAGAAAATTTTGCTAATCGATCATGAGGGCGATCCATGCGGGCCCCTACGGTGGCCCTCATCTATTTTGCCATAAGTGTGAGTGTTATTTTCAAAAAAGTGTAAATATATTTTTATTAAAAACGCGTTTTTCGTTGTTCTGAATCATTATAAACATTAATTTTTTGGTGATAAAAAAATATTTGATTTTTGGACTTAGAAAATTTTGCTAATCGATCATGAGGGCGATCCATGCGGGGCCCCTACGATGGCCCTCATCTATTTTGCCATAAGTGTGAGTGTTATTTTCAAAAAAGTGTAAATATATTTTTATTAAAAACGCGTTTTTCGTTGTTCTGAATCATTATAAACATTAATTTTTTGGTGATAAAAAAATATTTGATTTTTGGACTTAGAAAATTTTGCTAATCGATCATGAGGGCGATCCATGCGGGGCCCCTACGGTGCCCCTCATGGATTCGCCATATGGATCAGCCCTCATGGGCCCCCGCCGGGGGCCCCGAACTCTTGAGGGCAAGATCGTGGCTTTTTCCACACGGGTATATATAATTATTATTATTATTACTATTATTATTATTATTATTATTATTATTTTTAAAGTGTTTGGTGCGCATTGCTTTTCTATACTATATTGCAGAATTGTCATTTAAGTGTTTGGTGCGCATTGCTTTCCTATTCTATATTGTAGAGTTGTCATCCATAAGTGTTTGGTGCGCATTGCTTTTTTTTTTTTATCTCAGAATTGACAATCGTCTTTCAGTAGATGTTATAATTTTAAAGTATTTGATGCGTATTGCTTTTCTATACTATATTGCAGAGTTGTCATTTATCTTTTAGTACTAATAATAAGTTTTAAAGTGTTTGATGCACATTTATTTCGCCAACTAGCCCATTTATATGGCGTAAATAAAATTTTTGTATTTGATAATATTTATTAAAACTGACTGAAATTTAATTCAAAATTTTCATCAGAGCGAACTAACAAATCAAAATTATTTGAATAACAGTAGAAACGAAAAAAAAAAATTGATCCAAAATGTTTTAAGAAACATAAAAATAAAAAAAAAAGTTCATGTTCGAAAAAATTTTCAATAGAGGACCCAATTTATATATTAGTATAAATAAATTTTATTCGCACTTGCGGTCAGTGTTCAAGGTTATGTTTTACGTAAACTATATTATGAGTTTGTATCGTAGCGATATGGAAAGTTATACAACTTTTTCACACTGAATATGGACTGAAGTATGTCATTTATATTCTCACGCTCTAGGAAGTCAAACGTTTTTACTAAACAAATACAAGGATGACATTCACAGTCATCTAGTATGTTAATTTGACAGCAAATCCTTGGAAGACGTTGAGAACAGAAAACAGTTCACGACAACGGCTGTTTATATGCCGCACACACGTTATTATTTATTAACACTATTTTTCTGGTGAATTCATTTTTTTTCTACACATATATACAGTGACAAATATTGTATACATATATTTATATTCATGTGCATTTACAGATTACTAAAAAAAAAAAATTTCGTATTATAAAATTTATTGCAAATATTTAACGCAAAAAATCATTTTCAAGTAGGTATATGTAAAAATATTAATTATATCCAAATTTTGCATAAAATTGAAGTGAGATAATTAATAAAAATTTCCAAATATTTATTTAGTATAAGTGATAATTAATGGAATTAATAAATCGTCATTTAATCATGAGAGAATATATAATTTGCAAGGAATCGTCGACCCCTAAATGAAATGGAAGGAAGCTCATTTTCCGGAAATAGATGCAATCAATATACACATGGGTAATGCCTACCCTTATCAAAAACGAAAAATCAGTAATTTAATTCAACTGATTGTGAGAGATCTTTTAACTGACCTAATTCAGAATCATTATTCGATTTTAATTATTTTAATCAAGAATCGATTTTTCTTTTTTAAATTTCAATCTTAAAGGGGGATTTAAATATTTGACCATAATAACAATTCAAATATAATTATTGAAATGTAAAAAAAAAAATTTCATTCCTTATAGTAACTTACTTCTGTCGCTAGCAGCGGCATCTAAGTCTTGGGAATTAAGAGATTTTTTCACTTCGACATTAGGCGATGCTAATTTTGATGTTTCTAATAGCGTCTCTGTCTGTATTATACTTCTGCATAGTGTAATCAGTACAGCAAATGTACTAATCTGCAATAAATTTTTGTTAATTATTTAAATTAACTTAATTAAAACAAAAATTAGATTTCTTTAAGAGAAAAAAGATACACGGAAAAAAAACCTTCACCTGAAACAGCGATAAGTATCACTGGAATAGCGATATATTTCACTAAAACAGCGAAAGTTTTCACTAATCTAAAGAAACATATCGCTGTTTCAGATAAAGATTTTTTTTTCGTATAATTTTTGCAGATAACTTTTATTTTAAAGTTCACGAAAAAAAAAGATTTACCTAAAACAACGAAATGTTATCTCTAGCAAAAGTTTTAATTGTTTCAATTAAATCTTTTACTATTGCAATGAAATCTTTCGCTGTTTCTAGATTAAGTTTTTATTTCCGTATTGAAACATTTAAGAAAAACAATTTTAATTCATTTTCGAGAAATGAATATAGTTAAATTTTAAATAGTTAGTTCGAAATAAAAAAAAATATATATTTTGATTTTTTAACAGTCAATTAGAACCCGGGTCCAACTGTCCCCGATCTAAAGCCGCACCTGATTAGAATAGTCTGTTAACTTTGATATTAATTATTCAAATTCAACAAACATTATTTATAGCATAAATTAATAATTTTGTTGGTAAATCATGTGTTTCATTGATATATGAAATCTCATGTTTCTGATTGCAAACTGAAAGCTTGATTTAATCAAAAGCAACAAGTAATCATGGACTCATCCACTGTTTTTTCATATATATAACTTTTTACGTTTATAGAACTGACCATCGGAAAAAAATTACTTTTTGAGACAAAAAAAAAACTTGTTTTAAAAATAAAAAAAAAATACAAAAACTGTTTTTATCGAATGTTCAAATTTAGAAATTTTTGACCAGCTGCTTTTTGAGTTATTACTTTTTTCTTTCCACGAAAATTAAAAAAGTTGGCAAAAAACTTTTCTCACTTCCCTGTATATATTACTAATGGCAATACCAATTTTCAAATATGATACACTGAAAAAAAAAAATTTATTTGATTCAAATAATCAATTAATTTTATCAAATAAATATTTATTTAAAATATTTAAAATTATTTAAAGAAAATAAATTTATTATCTCAAAAAAAACTAGTTGGATCAAAAATTTGCCTATTTATTAATTAATAAATTAATAGATTAAAAGATTAATAAATTAATTGTAAATAAATTTTGTAAAATAATTTTTAACAAAAATAAAAAAAAAGAATTTTGTAATTTTTTTTTTTTTATGCATTCTATGCGCAATAATCAATGTCAATACAAAAAAGGTTGTGTATCAATATATGAACAAACGGACAAAAATTAAAAAGATAGTCTACATAGTATTGTGCAACTATCCGGCGCACGCAACGGAAATAACACTTTGATATTTTTCTCCAAACCGCACGCAAAGAAAATAGGCGATGAAGGCCTGTCTCTTATTTAACCAATGGGTGTGTCCCGCTTTATTGTTCTCGATATAACATAAAAAAAATAGAATTTTTCAACTTTTTTTTTTCATCATTATGTACATATATGTATATGAATATGTAAATCATATAAGTAGAAATTTTACTCTCTTACGCATAAATTCAAATTTGTGAATCATTTAATATTTTATTTTAATGACTTCTAAGATTTACGTTTTCATTGTGAAAATTTTTTTTCTATTTTAAGCTGAACAATAAATAAAATAATTAAAAAAATTCAAAAATATAAATGAAAGTAGAAAATAAAAGATTTGCATTTCTCCTTTCATCTTCTTTTTCCTGATAGTAAAAAAAAACTAAGTATATAATAGTCAATACAAAAAAAAAACCCGTAAAGAATATATTCTTGGCGCATATTTAAAAATATTTTATACTTAAATGAAGTATATATTCTTATTTTAAGAATAATAAATACTGAATTTAAGTATAAAATATTCTTAAATATGCGGCAAGAATAAATTCTTAATTTCAGTTTACGGATTTTCCTGTGAAACGATTATTTGAATCAAATAAATTTTTTTTCACTGTAAAACAAAAAAAAAAAGGAACAGGAAAAATTACTTACTGACGGGGGAAAAAAAAACTTCTTTTTGTATATTATGAAACCCAACAACAACTGATGACATTTCAATATAAAATAAAGTATAAAAAATATTAGGGGCTGTTATCTCTTTGCTATTTTAAATCAAAACGATATCAATTTGCGCACTTATATTTTTTTTTCCTCTAATACATTGAAAATATAATTTTACATCCCCTGTCACAAGTAATATATATATAATTTTTTTTTTACCCTATATTTGCAACTAAATCGAAATTACATAAAACCAACGACATTTGACACACTTTTGAGGGAATTTTTTGTGCGTTTAAATCGGTATGGAGAACCTTTTTTTTTTGATGATAACACCTACAACCCTTAATGTAACTCAGATTATGTTATATGGGGGTTGTAGGTGCTTCCATTTTCCTCAGCTTTTTATATGATAGAACGTCAGATGAATATATAATGACTAAAAGACTATGAGTCTTAAGAAAGAAAGAAAAGAAAAAAAAAAAACTTTTTCTGATTATCATTTGTGATATACAAGTGTTCAGGGATTTAAGTCACATTTGAAGAAATAAATACATTTTTATTTGATATGTTAATAATATAAAGAAATGGGAAAAAGAAAATTTCTATCTTTTTTAATTTCAATTAAAAATATTCGATAATTAGAGGAAGTTATTTATTTTTAATAAAATTAAAAAAACCATCACGAATGAAGGGATTCGCACATATTCTACAAAGATACGAAATTAATTTATTTCTAAACAAAATATATTTCTTTTATAAATTTCTCTCTTTCTCCCTCTCTCTCTAAAAAAAAATGCTAATAAATGAAACTTTAAGATTGTGAAAAGAGTTCTTTGAAGCAAAAGAAGACTTTCTTAAGTATCAAAGAAATTTCTCTAAATTATAATTCTATAAATAATTAGTGTTCTGTTCTTCGTTTCATTTTATTATTGATAAAAATTTAATTGTCTCATTTTAAACTAAAAAAAAAAATTATTTTTATTTACTTGTTTGCCTTTGAATAAAAAAAACCTTTCAATTATTAATTAATTATCTTAATTCTTTTAAAGAAATTTTTAATTTTATGAAAAAGTTTTTTCTTTTTCTGTGCAAAAAAAAAAAATTTAATACTCACAAGAAATAGTATTCTCATTTTTTTTTTTGTGAATTAAATTAAATTTCTTATTAATATTCTCGTTTAATTAAAAAAAAAAAAAAAATTTTTTTTCTAAAAAAAATTCACTAGAAACACGTGTTCACTTGTTTAAGTGGTATTACAGACAACTTATTGGTGGTTTTTCCTCACATATATATGTTTCGAAATCCCCACCCTTTAATATCCCAGTGTTTGAGCTTAGTTTCTTTTGTGGCTGGTGCCAAGGTCGTCTAAGTGCAAATCTGTCAACGTTCTGTAAATCATTGAAGCAGATTCTTTTTTTAACACAAATATACACCTTTCGTATATATCTATGGCTAGCACTTTCTTTTTAAATAATGATATCACAAAAACCATATTTTTCTTTGAAATGATAAAATTATTGAACAATATCCGCTATACGTAAACTTAATGATTATTATCAATATTTCCTCAATAAGTTTCAAACGGAAATGTACTTTTTCGATGAAAAATAAATAAAACCAAAAAAAAAAAAAAATTATTTACAAACATGTCTACTAGAAAGAATTTATTAATTATTTACCGATTATAAATTTCAAATATATTCAAGACAATTTTTTTGAGCAAAATACGAGCGATTTAAAATGTAAAAAAAAGAGGAAATCATAAAAAAAAATTCCCAACTTCCACTATGCTATTTGTAATGAACAAATTAAAATTCTCAACCGTAAGTTTTCTTCCAAGGATTTCATACATCAGCTAATAAAAAAAAAAATTGTTTGTTTTTTTACTTTTCACTTTACATTCATTAGAACATCTTAATTTTCATGGAAAAATTAAGTAATTTTATTTACTGTAATTTCAAAGTAATTTTAAAGTTAAAACAATTTTTTTTTTCAAATAATAACATTACAAAAAAGAAAAATTGCCAAAATATGTCTAGTTTGTCATTCAAGGTTATTTTTATACTGTGAATGATGAATTGCACATTTGTTTCCTTTAGTTTTTAATATTGTAACAAAATAATTATCTTGTATGAAATTATGTGTAATTTTCTTTTAATAAATATATATTTAAAATTCACAAAAAGGTGTTACCTTTTTTTTTCAATTGGCAAACAAAACTTTAACAACAGTAAAAAAAAAGTTTAATTTTTCAATTTTTAAAATATTGATTATTTTAATAATTTTAATAATAGAAAATAATAATTTAATTCTATTATTAATTATTTAATTATTTTTACATTTTTGAAAAATTGGAAGTTAAATTTTTTACAAAAAATGTATAGATTAATTATCAGATTAAATATCGAAGTTTAAGAAAATGTCATCTTAATTTAAGAACCAATATCTCAAAAATATTTAATGTTTACATATAGGAAATCGTATTATCGACTCTTCAATAGTGAGTACTTTCTTCCTTAAGAGCAAGGAACTTAAGCATTGTCCTTCAGTTTAAGCTGTGTCATCTCAAAATTTCTCAAGGACACATAATTTCATTCAACTATAATTACAGAACTAGAAAATATTTTTAGTCAAAATTTAAATATGCTTCTATTTCAATTTCTTTTTTATTTTCTATTATACACGGAAAAAACGAAACTCTAAATTTAAGAATATATATTTTTGACCCCTATTTAAGAATATTTTCCAATGAATTTTATTCTTAGAGTTAGAATATAATACTCTTAAAATAAGAAATAATATTTAAATTAAGAACTATTAATTTAAGAATTGTTTCTCATTTTAAAAGCATTATATTTTAACTCTATGAATAAAATTCATGGAAAAATATTTTTAAATAGTCACCAAGAAGATATTCTTAAAAAAAGTTTCGTTTTTTCTATGTATATTTGTGTACAAGCAAAAAAAAAAAATCTTTACCTGGAACAGCGATAAGTTTCACTGGAACAGAGATATATTTCTCTAGAATAGCGAAAACTTTCGCTATTTTAATGAAAGATATCGCTGATCTAGGTGAAAATTTTTTTGCGTATACTAAAAATATAAATATTTTTCTATTTTTATTATTTATTATCATTACTTTCCTCTCATGATTCATTTAAGATTGCAAAAAAAAAATATATATATATATATATAAAAGCTATAAGTATAGGTTCAAGTGTTTTCCTGCATCACACAATGTGTATCATAGATGATGGAACGATTAAATTACCATTATAATACGTTTTATAATGCCTCTTTGGTTTGAGGAGAGATCTGATTTCAACTCATGTCTGAATGATTCACGAATAATTCAGGAAAGTGACAAGGCCGAAAAAAATATTTCCCGTAAATAGTTCAAAGCAATAAGTAATTGTAATAAGTAGTGATATCCGCGGAATATAATAAAGAGTTCATTACGTCATATATGCATATACATAACTTCATTCTGATTGTTCATATATATATATATATATATATATATATATATATATATATATATATACAACAAAAAACACTTTACGCGCATTAAATTCATCAACTTGACCTCAATGTTTCACAAATAAGAAGGCTATATTTACATCTAACTACAAATTAATAATAATTAATACAAAAATTAAATGACAAATCACCAAAAAAAACAATACTCTAAAAAGAATATCTTCTTGCCGCCTACTTAAGAATATTTCCCATGCATTTTATTCTTAAAGTTAGAATATAATAGTCTTAAAATAAGAAATATTTTTAAGTTAAATATTTCTTCTAAGAATAGTTTTCTTAATTTAAATCTATTATATTCTAACTGTAAGAATAAAGTGGATGAGAAATATATAACTATATTTGAACCAAATAAAATTTAAATGAAACAAATTTAGTTCTAAAAAAAACATTCTTTTTTTACTCTTCGTGAAATTGTAAAAATATTTCTATATCAATCTCTTGAGAAAAAAAGAATATTTTAAAAATTTATGAAATCCTTCAAATACCGACATTGATGTTACTTGTATGTACGTTTGGTTGCATACTAAATACGATTTCACTGTTTCAAATAAAATATAAGCAATTTCTCCTCACTGCATCTTTTCTTTTCAGTAGATTTTATTTTTCAATCTAGTGTTCTTTTTTTTTTTAGAATTATTTCCCCGTAATATCAAAAAATGTATACTTTTTAAAAATATTCTACTTGTTCAAAGAACCAATCTAAAAAAGAAATTCAGCTTTATTTTCAAAATTTATACTTGCTTTATAAATTCATTTTTTATAAACTAATCTTATCAAAAAAAAAAAAAATTGCTTTTTATAAACCCAGATGCATTTATTAAAAAACGAGAGGAGCTATGACCCCTGCGCCAACTCATGTTATTTTACACTTTAATGTTGACTTGGAATTTTGAGGTTATGTTTGAATCTATTTTCACGCCGTGAAAAGACGTGACTTTAGCCAAATGGCTATTTTTACGGGTGCGAAAAGGACGTATAATATATAGAGAGAAATAAACTGTTATGTTAAAATTTTCATTTTTAATTTATTTTCTTTTTCTTAATGATAAATAAATTATTTTAATCAACGTAATGCATTTCATTCTCTTTGATTAATAATTTAGGAAATTTACCCAGTTAATTTAAAATTACCCAAATATAAAGGACTTAGAATAACTAGTGTCATTCAATTCTCAAGCGAATTAATTATAATTTATTATTCATATATATATATATATATATATTGTATGGTGTTTTCCTGTCCCAAAAGATTTTCCCAGAATAAATTTTATAGTGATTAATACCCCTTACTAGACACTTCATTTATCATTTTAAAAAAATTATCAAAAAATAATAAATAAAAAAACACGTGACTTTATTTAGAAAGAAAAAAGTTTATGACATTGAATATTAAATTCAATTTAAAATTCATGCAAACTAAAATTTATTGAGTAAAAAATATGCAAATATTCCATGAATTAAAACGAATAATTTAAAAAAATTTAAATTTAAAATAAGTTTCTATGCATCTACTTAACAAACAAACAAACAAAAAATCCATATCCCTTAAAAGATAAAAATGTATTCCATAAAAATAAGTAAAAATTTTTATTATAACAAAAAAAAAAAATCTCATCTAATTTATTTCATAAATTTTAGTGTTTAATAAAAAATAATAGACGCCTACTCCTTTCTTTAAGAAAGGTAATTTTTCAAATTTTCCTGTTAACTTTTTCACCCTCTTTTTATAGTGGTACCCTTTTTTTTCTCCTCATGAAATCCGCACAATCCTCTCTTAGACGTGATGTTATTTATAATTTTTTCCAACAAATTAAATCAATAAAACCATGCATTTAAATCTCTCTCTTAAATCGCACATTCAATTTAATAAAAAAAAAAAAAAAAAAAACTCGATTGTTTTTTACTCATACGTACGGATATAAAAAGCATTAATATTCAAACATTATTAATTTTCTAGTTTATTTTTTAAAAAAAAAGTTTTAAGCCATCAGTGATTTTAAACTTTTAATGAAAGTCAACTTTTGAATTTAAAAAAAAATATTAAAGAAAAATCTGATTTCTTTAACAAAAAACAAATTAAATTCCCGTAACAAAAAAGAAAACGTTTTTTCAAATGCAGTAGTGACTTATATAATTAAGACGTATTTTAGTTTTGCCAAAAAAAAAAAAAAAAAAGTATAAAGAAATCTTTAAACACAACAGCTTTATTTAGACAAAAAAAAAAATTGACAAACTTTCTTTCATCAGGTCTTACTATTTTTAAAAAGGAAAAAAACAAATATTTGGGCATTGTAAATAGAGATACAAATTTAAAAAAAAAAACTGATTATTTAACTTTTGCTACTAAATAATTCGGAAAACATGACTCAATTCTAATTTTATATATCCAATCACAAAAAAGATGTTTCGTCAATTTTCTTTTTCTGTCTGTATATTTATTATTCTTTTTTTCCCTCCTGTATTTCATTCTTATTATTATGTCTTCCATGAAAAGTCGAAGATCAGTGAGGAGTCAATTGCATTTCATTATGAGACGATTTATGATTATAGACGTTTTTTTTTTTTTTTTTTCGTTAATTTTGGAACAAGCAAAACAATCTCATCTCGTTAGTTTACGTGAACACAAGATGCGTTGATGAAACAGATCTCGCTACATAACCCTTAGTCCTCCCTTGCGCCACGCAAACTAAACAAGATTGTTTACTGACTTTGAAAGCCTAGTAAACCCCCCCTT